TTCCCCTCTTCTTTTCAACCTCATTATTTTCCATAGTTCTGTCTTCCATATCGCTTCTTCCATTCTTGTGGTCATTACATCCATTTGGTTGCACATCTCAGTTATAGCATTTTTTTATTTTGGCCTGACTAGTTTTTAGGTCTTTTATCTCTGCTGTAAGGGACACTGGGTGTCTTCTATGATTTTCTCAAACATGGCTAGTATCCTTAAAATTGTTGCTTTGAATTCTGGATCAGGCATATTACTTAACCGTTTCAATTAGTCCCTGGCTGTGACATTTTCTTGTTCTTTCTTTTGGGATGAAATCCTCCATCTTGCCATTTTGTGTAGCACTCTGTCTTCTTCTGTGTTTTATGAAAGCCTGTTATGTTTCTTGTTCCTGGGAGTAATGGCCTTATGAAGAAGATACCATATACTGTCCAGGGACAGTTACTTCAGGGAGTCTTTGGTATGTGCTGTGTGTACTCTGCTACTGTGTTTTGACTGTTCTTCCGCTCCAATCAGTCATCTGCAGAGGATATCCTTGACTGTAGTGGAGAGTGTTTGGACCTTATTCAGTGTGTGGTGAGTTTTAACTCTGTGTGCCCTGGTCTGCTTGTTAAATGAGACATGATGTTATTTTCACTAGAACTGAAGTTTTGCAGAACTATATGGTCAGTTGATGTGGTGAATGTGGAGATTTCCCTGGTCTTCTCAGGGAGGAGCCTGCTGCTCTTGTTCTCAGGCACACTTGCCCAAGAAGGAAAGCCCTTGCAGAACACAGGGAGTGGAATAGGTACAAGCAGTATAGACCACTACTGCTGACACTGTCCTGCTCACTGAAGTTAGTTTATGCTGAGTGGCAGGGGAGAGAAAAAGCCCCAGCAACCCCTTCATCCCTAAAAAAGGGATTCCCTACTGCTGCTATAAGGGAAGTGCTCCCAGAAGAGCGAACATTCTCCCTTGGTATGTTCCAGGTGTCCCTGAGATCCCTGCTTTCACCCTATTTGTGTCCTGACCTTCTATCCACCAGGGAGCACAATGACCCTTGGGATCAATCCCAGGCATTAGACCTCCAAACATTCCAGACCTGGCATGTCAGGGACCCATGCTGGTTGTCTGAGGGAGGGTCTCACCACACTGGGACTGGTGCAGGTTTATCCCAGAAGGGCAGTTGCACCCAGGCACAGGAGCATGGAGTTTGTAGTAAAGTGCAGCAAAAGCCAGTGTCCAGGTTAACCACACACAGCAATGTCTCCATGCCGATGCTCTGGGGTGGGGGAGGGCAATGGTGCCCTCCAGCTCTTTTGTCTCAAGAGAGGTGGTGCCACCTCTCCCAGATGAACCCCAAAAGGTGAAACAGTTTCTCCCATGTGTCCCAGGGGATCCTCAGATCATGCGCTCTGTCCCCAGACTTCTGCCCTCCTTCCCCACAGGAGCACTGCAGTGCCCACTGGACTCAACATTAGCCACAGCACAGACCTCTAAAACTTGTCTTTGAGCTCCACTAGTTGCAAATTTCACAAAAATCAACCACCCCCACTTTCCTAGTCAATGGCTGTGGGGAAGTCTTTTCCTTCTGTGATACCCTGGGTGCTCCCCACACTCTCTCTCCTTTGTACGTGACCAGGCCTCCCTCCCCTCCACAGCACCCCAAAGTGTGATGCCCTACCTCCTACTTTCCACGTTGTGGCCTCTTGTCTCCTTCTAGTTGTGCACTTTGTTCTGTCAGTCCTCAGATTGATATCTTGGTTATTAAGAAGGATTTTATATTCACCTAGCTGTATTCCAGGGTTGGGGCAAGCTTGGGGTCCTCCTACTACTCTGCCAACGTAGCTCCTCCCCATCAACCCTCTTTTTTTCTTTTTTCTTTTCTTTTCTTCTTTTCTTTTCTTTCCCTTTCTTTCCTTTTTTGTGGTGAGAACACCTTGGATCTATGTTTTTAGCAAATTTCACATATACAATTTCTCTGCCTACTTGCATGGAAATTTCATCCTCAGGCTTGCTTCTCTGGTGCTGAAAAATGGATGGTACTTGTTTCCACCTTTATACTCTGCATCTTCTCATCCAGGACAGGAGAAAGCATCTCTTTCCCCTCCATCAACCACAAGAATCAGACTTCGTGGAACCTGTGCCACCTGGAGCAGATACCTGGCCCTGAACCATCTCTCTGGGTGATACAAATGGCATCTGTCTGATGATTGGCCTGAGCAGCTGGTTACCTGTCCATCCTTCAGCCTGTCTCATTGTCAAGGATGCTTTCTCCTGATGGCCTCAGGCTGATCAGAGCCCAAGGCTACACGAGGATGGAGTCAACCATCCAAAAACCACATGGTGGCCATGTGAGGGTGACAAGGGGGACTGAACTTAGAGAAACAACCAAATGTCCCACGATTTGCTCTCCCCCATTCTTATATTTTTAACTTTGCCACCTCTCCCATCCCAGTGTTTTGTTTTGTTTTGTTTCCAGAAATATCCACATGTGTAGGGCTGGGAGCCTGCATGTTGTCTCTCTGGATGCCCCACTGCCCTGGGCTCCTCTCTCAGCCCCTAAACAAATTAGAACTAAGTTCCTCTCCCCTAGTTCAATCCACATAAATTCCTGTACTAAGAAAATAGAAACAAAATGAAAAAGGTAAACAAATCAGGAAAGCAAAGTGTTCAATCTCTGGGGACATAGAAGACGTTTTCCTCCCCTACTTGACATTCAAGATGTCCCAGCAACATGGCCAGGCTTGAGAATGGTTTGCTGAGTTAATTAATGAAACCGAGAGTAACTGAAGTATAGCCATGGATGTTTCCATTCCCACTGAATGGGGGTCATCAGTCACAAAGGGTCTGTCTTCATTATTCATGGAGTCTGTCTGTGCTGATTGGCCTACCTGCTGATGTTGATTTGCACCCCCCAGATACATGTGCTTACCACTCTTCAAAGAGGCAAGGAGAGAGACCTGAAATGTGTCACCCACTTTATGTGTTGACTGGTGAGGCTGAGCCATGTGCCCCTCAGCCTTCCCGTGTTAATTCACACACTGTAAACACTTGTCTTGCTCATGGCCCATTTGGTGTCACATTTTCTGAATTACATGCTCTTTCTTGGTGATTTCAGTGTTTAAAAAGGCCCTGAAGCCCAGAGCTTCAGGGCTGACTGGTGTCCTAAGCACAAAAAGGTGGGATGTGCCTCATGACAAAACACTTGTGCAGGTAAGGCTCACTCAGGCTCCCTATGCAGAGGTGTGGGCCATGAGGTGAGAGGTAATGAATTATCAATGCAGTAAATCCAGGAAAAGAAATAAGACATTCATGACATCTATATGGAGCCAGAGAGTGCTAAAGTAACACCTAGGACACTAGAATAACACCACAGAAAAGGGGAGAAAGAAATTGAACTTGTGGATTCATAAGATGATGACTATTTCTTGTTTATTTGTTTCTAAAAGCACCATAGGCAATAGCTGTGGGGCTAAAACCAAAGACACTGATGATCACAGTACCCAAGCTGGGAAATGTTACACTTCTGAGCTAGTATTTCAGGATAGGGAAATATGTCACACAATGAATTATTTGGAAATACATATATATTAAGAAGTTGTCTTTAATTGGAGAGAGAGATGAACCATGAGAGACTATGGACCCTGAGAAACAAACTGAGGGTTTTAGAGGGGAGGGGGGTTGGGAGATGGGTTAACCTGGTGATGGGTATTAAGGAGGGCATGTACTGCATGGAGCACTGGGTGTTATACGAAAACAATGAATTATGGATCACTACATCAAAAACTAATGATGTGTGGTGACTAACATAATATAATAAAATAAAATTTAAGAAAAAAGAAGCTGTCTTTACACAGAAACACACATGAATCCAGGCTGTGTACTCACCAGTTGGAAAGTATTATAAGCAGAGGCTCTCAGGAACCCAACCCCAGATTTCCCCCAGAAACAATGGCTCAATATCTGTGCCCTCAGTGACTATAACACAGTAGCCATGAATGCCAGGAGGCATTGAATGCATGGTCCTTGTTGGATCCCCATTCCTTCCTGACCATAGCACTCTTGTTTTCTTTCCTGGACCATCTCTTTTCTGTTCAGGGACACACTTGTCCTGATACCTCTCAGGTATCACCTATATCAGTGCCTCTCATATTTTATGCCTCTGTGAATCCCTTGCTGGTTTTGCTAAAATGCAAATTGTAATTCAGTGACTCTCAGCTGAGACCAAGACCCTATATTTCTAACAAGCCCCAGTGTGACAACCCTGCGGCTATCCCTGAGCCTCACAAAGAGCAAGCATCCTGCCTTCCTCTTTTTATTCAGAATACTTGGAGCAACAGGTCCACTCCCATAGATGTCTACAGTTAAATAACTCGAATGGTCACAGGTAAAACTGTGTTTCTCCTCAGTCTCAGAATTGACACAAGGAACCATGAGAATGTGAAGTCCCTCGGCCAAAAAAAAAAAAAAAAAAGACTTTAAAAAAAAAAGCATCAAACATCTCAACTACTACAAACATGTCAGGAAGTAAAAGAAGCAGAAAAAGCTATAAATATGGCATATATTCAACACAGATTTTTATTGAGGACATATTCCATGTAGGTTAGACACCATACCAAAAAGCTAAAAAAAAAACGTGGACTTTGATCTCAACAGGTCTAAGTATTAGAAGGAGAAAAGGGACCTCACAGGGGACAATACGGGGTGGGGTCAGAAATAGATTTGCCAAAGTGCAACTAAAAATTGAGGAAATTTTCACCAGGCAGAGACTGCTTCCACTAGTAAATCAGGGAAGGCTCTTGAGGAATTGACATTTGATGCCTGATGTCCCATGGAGGTTCTGGGACTTTATTCCACCAGAGTTAAATTTTGAATTTAACACAACAACAAATCCCACTAAAGTACACTGAACTTATAGTGACAACAGATAATTAAGCAGAAGTGAAAGACAAAATTGCACGTAGAGAGTTGCAAGGACATCACCGCTGAGCTGGGTTTAGATAAATCCTGGAGCTTGGGCTGCTGGGATCTCACTCCAAAGGGAAGCCAGTGCACTGAGGTCTCCAGTGTGTTTTCCTGGGAGGAACAGAGGAGGAGTCACTCTGCAGCAAGCAGAGGTGAGGACTGCAGGAGGAAAGAGCAGTAGGAGGAGGAGGGCTGAGGACAGACTGAAAGGTAGGGAGATACATGGGAAAGGGGAAGAAGGTGGCTCCAGAGACTCACCAGCACTTCCAGAGCCACAACACCAGACCTGCCAGAAGCACCAGGGGCACTATTACTGCCAGGAAGACCAAGCCCATGGAGTGGGGCTGCTCTGTGGGTTTGGTGCACAGAGGGTGTCATTTCCCATCCAACCCAAGTTGAACTGCACCCCCCTGGTCCACTCTGCTCCTATGATCCTCTGCCTCACCAACCGCCCTTCCTCCTTTCACTTCTCCCATTCCACCTGAGATGGACCCTTCACCCAACCCCTCCATCCTCCGACATCTAGAGGGCTCCCACCCTTAGTTCTCCATTCCTTGGTTTACTGATTTTAGTCATTTTTGGTCTGGAATCCCTAGCAACCCAAATTTTCATCTGGCTCTCACACTCTGCTCTAAGACCAACCACCTCCTTTCCCAGGTGGGTCCCAGTTCCTTCTCACCCCAGTGGAGGACCATGTCCTGGCCTCCGAGACTGCTGTGTCTCACTCGGCACGACAGGCCAGCTGCCTCCCTGGCTTTCATATCCAAGGACGTCTGAAGATACCATGTCCCATCAGCATGGGGCAGGACGTCACCTCGCTGGGTGCCCTGCTGCTCCTGCTCACCCCGCATCCACATCACCCACACAGGCTTTGGGCGGAAGCCAGAGACATGGCACACCAGCAGCAGACGGCCAGGACCAGGACTGGGGCCAGTGGACAGCCAGCCCTCTGGCCTCTCTGCAGACACAAGACAGGTATTCACAGACTGAGAAGGTAGATCTTCACATCACTTTAGATAGACACATCTTTCTACCTCTTGAAACCTGTCACCAAACCCCATCTCCCTCTTGGCTCCTTCTTTGAAGGAATGATGTAAATTTATGAGTGCAGAGTAGAGAATTCATGGAGGGAGGGAGCAGGACTGACCTTGTCGCTGGATATCTTCCTTCCCTGCATCAAGAAGACTCAAGAGGAACTGGGGGCAGGAGTCAGTAATGAGTGTGTGTAGTCCTTGATTCATCACATGGTCCTGATTGAATAGTTTGCAGACATGATGAGCCCTACTTCCTCCCTTTGGAGATGGCCACCATGTCATGTTCTGGAAGCTCACGAGATCTTCCCCTTGATAAGCAATCCGCACAAATCCTACTGATGCTTCCCCAGTGCGTAGTAGCTTACAGCCTTCTGCGAGCTGTACCTGGAAGGGATCTGGGGAAGAGAAGTTGTGAGTTATAGAACAGGGGGAGTGAAGAGGATGAAATGAGATTAGTGGAATCCCTGGAGGGCAGAAGCAGAGGTGAAAGTTCTGGGGATTGGAGGGAATGGAGCACAGTTTGGTTTGATGGGAGGCTCACACAAAGAGGAAGTGGTGGTCACTGGAGGCAGAGGAAGAGGTGAATGATAGAGGAAGGAAAAAATGTTGGAGGAGAGACATGAATGATGTGGGCAGAGAATAGGGAAGGGCACAGCAGGAGAGCTGGGGATAAAAAACAATCTAGGGTGAAGGGACTGCAGTGTGGTACAGGGAAAGCTAGACAGAATTTGTTGATGGGATTGAATGGGGAGAAAAGTACAGTTCAAGGAGTCAGTCACAGAGTGAGGGAAAAGAGGGTGCCCCGTTGGAGGCCAGGGAAAGTGATGGTCATGTGAGACACTAGGGGGAGACAGGAGAGCACAGCCTGTGGTCAATGAGAGGAGTGGGAAGTAGCAGAAGATATGAAGCTTTTCAAGAATCGGGGTCTGGCTTCTACCCCCTGCCCAGAGGTTGTGATTCAGATTTATGATAGGGAAACCTGAGTTTCAGAAGCTAGTGGAGGCTCTTTCCTAGAGGAAGAAGGAACTCAAGGAGACACACACACACTTGCCACCTCCATCCCTCCTTCCCTGAGGGAACCGAACTTACATTCAAGATGCCAGTGTCTGACATGGTCTTGAAACACCTGACGTAATCGAGTGGTGCATGTGTACAATAACTTTTCCACTTTCATCAGCCCCTCAGTGCTCCTGTTGCCCCTGGGCCAAGGCCAAAGGAAAATGAAAGCCCCAGTCTTGTTGTCCCAGCCATGAGTCTGCAGCTCATCCAGCCAAGCTGAACCCAGATTTTGTGTCCGGGAATCGTTGTAAAAGGATATGGTCAGGATAATTTGGAAGGAAATAGGCTCCTGGAAGGCTGTGGGAAAAGGACAGACAGACTGAGGAAGAGGGAATCATTGGGAAGGAAAGAGAATGGAGAAGAAGGTGCCAGGGACAGGAACCAAAATCTGGAGGACAGGAAGCCATAGTTGTCCCAGGAGACATGTGCTGCCCCAGAGCCCTGAGCTTTGTACCCATCCTTCAGAAGAGCACAGGGCACTGGGGTCAGGGATGCTCAGGAAGGAACCAGGCTGACACTCTCCCTCCCCAGCTATATGGTGGGGACCCACTCCACAAATGGTCACATACACTCACAAACAAACACATTTACAAAGTCACACAATTTTATACACTCTTACACAAACATACACAGATACAAATGCACACATGTATACAGACACAGAGACACACATATGTACATATGCAAACACAGACATACAGACACACACCCACAGGTACACACCACACCCAACTCTGCATGTGTCTACACATACGTAGACACACACAGAGTTGCACACCTATACACAAATACACAAACTCATACATACTTACACACATATGCACACATAGAGACACATAGGCATGTGTACACACATCACACACACACATGCACCCACAGGGCAGGGTCAGAGTTCTCACCATCTTCACTGTCACCACCTGGGAGGAGAACCACCAGCAACACAAGTTGCAGGAACAGCATTGTACTTGCAGATGTTCTTTCCCTCTCTTAGAAAGTAGGTCTTTGACGTCTGTCCTAGCAAACCTACCCTACACACAGCACCTCTCTTCTGACTTCCTTCTCCACACAGAAGGCTTCCCTGGGTCTCTGCAACAATGCATATGTGCTCCTCCCTCAACCCTGGACACGTACTCAGACTCTAACTTCCCCTCTTGGTCTGACTCTCCTCTCTGGCTTCCAGCTTCTTCCTGTCACCAGCTTCCATCCTGCTCCACATCCCCTAATTCAAATACTACATAACGAGTCCTGTGTGGCATGGAAAAGTCATCCCACCTCTTGTGCCTTTCCTTTTCATCCAGACAGTAACCCATGAAAACACATGGCTCCCCAAAATCCAGCCCTGGATGCTGTTGTCACTCTGTCCCTCCTGCCCTTGTGACTCCCTCCATTTATTTACATTCCTATCTCCCCCCCACCACAGTTCATGCATATCTCTTGCTTCTCACCACTTGTGTTAAAAAACAAAATCAACCAGGTAAATTTGAAGATCTAGTTGGTTTTATTAAGTGATTCAAGAATGGGGCAGCATCCATCTGGCAGGTAGAGGGGAGCTCTGAGGAGTGGTGCAAATGAGAAGTTTGTATAGGAAGGAACTTGGCAAAACAAGAGAAAGGAGTGTTTCAGGGAAGGTCACCTTCCCTTAATTGGGAGAACAGGGGATCTTACCATGCAGATGAACTCCCCTCCCTGGGGGACTGAGAGGACCCACATGACAGAATACGTCATTGGTGCTGACCAGAGAATTCTTCACTGACAGGTGAACATTTCTGGGGAGGTGGAAACTGTAGTTAATTTAGGGATTAAGCAAGATTTGGGGACATGGCCTGGCCCAAGGTGCCATTTTAGGCCTCTGGGTTTCTTTTTAACAGTTGCTCTATTTGCTTGTCCAGATTCCCTCATGATTTCCTATGTAACAGTATCAGCAATGACCAGTCTGCCATTATTCTTAGGGAGGAGCCAGTAGCCATCACAGAGTCCACAAGACATTGAAACATCTGAAGAATACCCCCTTCAGTCAGACCTGCATTAATATATATTCTTTCACCAGTCTCTTAGCACCTGCCTTGATCCAAGCACCGTGCTACACTCATGAAAATAGAGTGTTCACAGAGCAATCACTTTATGCAAGGAGGTTTTAGTCTATTTGGGAAGAAAAACCATAAAGAACTATGCATTTTGGTGTGCTCAGTTTTATTATAATGTGCAGACTCTAGACAAACACGTCTGCTGGAAACAATATATTCTAAAGTAGTGATGCTTGCTGATGTTTGCCAACTCAGAATCTTGACTCACTGTTTGGCCTCAGGTGTTTCTACCCCCTCGTGATCCCCACGTCTAACAAAGGGCCTGGCAAGTGGTAGGTGCTCAATGGTTATTTCTGAATGATTGAATAATTCAGTTCTGGGATCCAATTACTCTTAATTATTATGGAGATCTTCAACACAAAATTTTTTTAAGCATCACAAAGTGTTAGTTGTAATCCTACTTGATGAAATGAGAATCCTACACATTTTTTCTTGAGAATAAAGAAATATGCTAATGATCAGGAAGTTTACACAGAGATTCCCTCTGTAAATCTCCTATCCTTGTCATACAAAACCATGAGAATTTATAGGAAGTGGGGTTAGTAGAGTGTTCTAGAATCATGTATCCAGATTTCCTTCTTACTGTTCCTGCTCGAATGTTCCATGCTTGTCTTACTATGACCTGGCCTCTCCTAGACATGATGACCTTCCTCTTTCATGGTGTTCTTAAGTGTTTAAAGGCTCTTCAAAATTTGTTTGTGCTTTATATTATCTGGATAAATGTGTTTGAGCTATTTGTCTTGTTATTTCTTGGCTAACAAGTAAACAGAAGTAATCTCAAGCTAATGTTAGAAGGATAATATTTTTTTGGAAAGGGTTGATTGGAATATAGAAAGAGTCACTCCCATAGTTAAGATTTTGAAAAGCAGGATAATCAAAATCATGTCTCTTGAATCCATCAGAGCTGAAGGATCAGGGAAAATTGTTAACCGAAAATCTAGGGAAAGACAGACTTCTCTGAGGATATAGGGTATGCAAACCCTTGCTTTCTTGGGACAGATGCTCTATAAGGCAGCTAAAATTGTTAACAAATGACTGAAAGTTAGCATGAGTACCTGGAGCCCCCAAGAGTCAAGAGACTCAGGAAATTCTCTGTATCTCCAGGCTTTTTTCCCTTGACCTCACCAGGGGTTCCTGACAAGCTGGAATCCAGGATGCAGACCAGAGAACTGTTTTCTCCTAGTGCAAGCCTGTGGACTGAGATCAGTTGCTGCCTGAGAAGGTCAGGAAGGCCACCATCTCCCACATAGAAAGAATCCTTAACCCAGTGTGGGAAGGCAGGGAATTACCTCAGGGCACAGGTGAAGCTACACTGCAGCTGGGGGGAAGGGCCGGTCGAGGAAGGAGAGTACCACACCCTGTGCCAGAATAAGAGGTTCCATCTGCTGAGGAAAAGGTGGGAACCCTTAGAAGGCCCAATCCCAAAACTGAAAAACAAAGCACCTGGCTGAGGATGAGACTGGACCAGAGCAGAGCAGAGCTAGTGCCCCACTCTCTGTCCCAGGCAGGCTAATGAGTTAGGTACCAAGAGCAGCTCTGCTTGTGGAGGGGCAAGAGAATGAAGACAGGTCACCATGAGGCACTTCCTGTTATAAAATTGTAAGTCCAAAATGATTTCATGAAGTGAGTTCCCACACTGGGCTTCATACCCAATCTAACTAATTTAACCCCATGAGAAATGTGACCTTAACCAGTCAGTGTCAGTAAATTTTTCTTTCCATCAGAGCCAGTCAGTCTGTGTAAATAAAGGCTGTTACTAGTGGGATCTCAGAGGTCAAACAGCCCCAAAGTTGGTGGGTGCACATCAAACACTGGGCTGTTAGAGCCCTTGCCACCTCCAGAAGCCTCCTGAGATAGGATAAGTTGGTCACCAAACTGGTTAGATTGACACTAGGTCACCTGCCAACCTCAAGAAAACTTCTGAGCAACAAGGTACACTGTAACATATGCACAGCCCAGTCCCACAAACTGTCCCTTGTAGGTATTACCACAGCTCCAGGAAACCCAGAAGCTTATTTAATGGGTGTTCTTAAATTCTAAACAGTCAAGTGTGCCACCTTCTGGGGCACCCACTCAGTTCATGTCTAAGAAGTAGAGTCCTGGAAGTTGTACTCATGGAGCAAGATTAAAAAAAAAATTATTAAAAATAACCTAGAGTTACAGTGGCCCCTATGGGGAACATTCCACTTAGACTGTTGTTCATAAAGGAAGTGCACTTGAAAGTAAGGGTTCCCAAATTCAATAAACAGAAATGGACGCCTATATTAATTGGCATGCAGAAAATTCCAAGAAGCATCAAGATTCCAAAATAGTCTCACTGAAAGATTCGTTACAAAAAGCTGATAAAAAACCTAAAATACAACAGGTGCCTAAGAGAAAAGAGAAAGGCTGATATAGCTCCTAATGCCCCTCTACCCTTCCTCACCTGAAGATTCACTGTCTCATTTTCCATCTCAGTCTCCACTCTGAAGACACTGCTCCCTTTCAAACAAAATCTCCTGAGGTTACAGGTGATCCTCCTCAGAAATCTTCCACTCCTTGGTCAAAGACTGAACAAAGGGCCCCAGCAAAATAGTTCTTCAACCTAGAGAGGGTCCTCCAGAACTGTTTTAAATAGATTACTTCCTGAGCCCAGTAGTCAGGGAAATAAAAGTTCACATTAGTCCTTCCTTTCCAAATCCAAACCCGTTGACTACTAATGCTTTTCTGAAGTAACTATTTCCTTCTTGCTCATCTCCTTTGACATTCTAAGAACATGGTTTGTGGCTTTCTGCTGCCTGGGATATGCAGCTTGTTGGTTCTTTCTTTGGTGATCTTGGGGGGTGGCTCTAGATCTGGTACAAGTGGTATCTTTGTGGATGCCTCTTGGGTCCATAAGGTTGTATTGCCAGAATTCTTTACCGTTTGTCCCAGCTACATCCTGATAAAATAGTTTTAAAAAATTTAATAACTCCATAATAGAAAATTGGGCCAAATTAAAAGCTGATATTCAGAGCTTGATAGAAAATGTTTTAGGCCTCCTCTCCTCAGCTAAAGGTACCCAGAGGAAAAGAAGACTTTCTCATACGTGGATGGATGTGTCAAGTCCTTTGATATCTTTCAGGCAATTGGGAAATTCTTTGAGAAACTAAAAACAGCTGTTCTTGTTTTATACATCTAGTCTTTATGGGGCCAGAAGTGTGGTTCCAAAAGGAATTCAAAAACTAACAATCCTCTTTTATCTGAAAATCCTATATGTATTCTAACCATTCTGGCCTTAAAAGATCAAAAGACCTTCTAGAAAGGACTTGAATTTATTTTCCGTGTCTTTCAACTGTAAATATATGGAGTTCTGCCTGGTCTTCTCCAAGAATTCCTTTCAAATGCAAATTTCAGGGAGATAATCCTTACCAACTACAAATGAGAGGGGAAAGCCCTTTTAAAAGGTGACTTGCCCAGGTACTTGAGTGGCTCAGTGTGTTAAAACGACTCTTGACTGGCTCATATGATCTCAGGGTCATGAAATTGAGCCCTGTGTATAGCTTTGAGCTCAGGGTGGAGTCAGCTTGAGATTCTTCCTCTGCCCCTCCCCCCCACTTGTGCTCATTCTGTCTTTAAATAAATCAATAAAATCTTTTTAAAAAATTTTTAAAAACGGAGTAAAACCTGAATTGCCAAGGACAAATACAAATCTTAAGTGTCTTTTCCACAAATACTTTTTAAAAAAATTTTTAGCATCTAGACAAATCATGTTCATTTATTCCATCTGCCCAAAACAAAGAAAAAAACAAACAAAATACTTCAAATGCAACTTTTATAATTAGTGAACTTTGCACTTTTTGATGTCAGTAATTTAAAAACAGAAGCTGTAAGTTCTTCCTCTGTCTTGTATGTTCATATCTGTTTATACTGTGTTGTAAATACATTTCTGCCTCAGGAAGGCATTGCTAAAATTAATTTGTGAAAGAGCTATTTACTGGGCTTGAACGCAAACAGTTGT